TAATTTTATGATGGTTCCTTAATATATTTTAACTACATTGCATTTGAGTATGGAGAGGCAACTATCTGGAAGTATTTTACATAAAAAATTTACTAAGTATTGCCCGGTTTGTAGTTGCAGTTAAAGAAAACACATGAAAAGGCACGATTTTTTTTAAATTCGAAAAAATGTAAATATTTCAAAAACGGTGACACTTTTACCCGAAAATTTTTTGTTTATCAGGGAGCTCACCCCCCCACCTACCTTCCCCTAAAGTTTGGCACGTTACTTATGGGACACCCTGTATACCCAATCCTCCGCAAAAAACTGTCGAGTCCCCGATTGCCACCTAAACCGAAATTCCCTGCAAATCAGGGGGAATTTCCCTCTAGTTGACTTCCCTGCACGCGATACATAATTTGTAGGCTGTGCATGTTGCTTTCTAATTCTTATAGAAATCTTTTTTATTTTTGCTGATTTTGATGGTATAGAATAGTTAAAAATTAATATTTTTCTACCAGAAAACTATTTATCTGCAGGAGATTATCAATAATAATACAAAATTGTTTACTTGACCATTTTTTCATTACAACTATGATTTATAGGTCCGCCAAAAACCCCGAAAAATGCAATGGGGCGACCAATAAAAAATGGTTAGTATTAAAAAATGGTTAAATAAACAATTGGGTATTATTACTGAAAGTCTTCTGAAGAGAACAAGAATTTTCGGATCGAAAAATATTGACTTTCAGTATTCTATACCATTTCTACGAAAAATGTATTTTTCCCATATAAAAATACATGGAAAGCTTTGAGCGCTTTGAGCGACCTCTAAAAAAATTTCGATTTCAAAATAAAAAAATAGAACAATCCTAGGGGGGTGAGAGCATTACAATTCCGACTTTACTGTTTCTGGACCACCCTAATGTACAAAGTATGCAGCGATACCCGCCTCTAACCTAACTGGGAAGACGCATACATTCTTACCCACATTTGTACATACATGAATGCATTACCCTGCAGGAAATGTGTCTAACTATAAAATAACTTTAAGTTGATTAGAAAGGAGCTAAAAGTCACTTTTTATCAGTATATTTTCTTTGACGAAAGCTGACTATGTTTCTATGGCGATGGCCGCGAAATAGTCAAGGGTGGTTACTTCTGCATTAGATGTAGTCAAGGGTGGTTACCTTTGCATTTGATGTAACTAACTTCTAACTACTTTTAGACATAAAATATCAGTAGGAAAAACAAAATATTTTTTAATTTTTTTTTATTTAATTTTTTTATTTATTTTATTACATTTCATATTCGTTGACATATTCTGCTGTAGGTGGTTCGAACTTCGTCAGGCATAACTTCAAAATGATAATGTGAGATTTTGATCTTCCTTTTAGTTGCGATCCCGTACGAGTCCGGACTAGTCTGAAATAGTCAGAATCAGTCAGATTTTACTGGAAATCGATCCCGTACTCGGTTC